AAAGAGCCTCTGGACTTGTACTTGGACTCTCCGCCTAAAAGAATATGCTCATTATCTCTGTAACAGAACAAAGTGGTAAATTCCATTATGTTTATCAGGATATGACCACAGGCCTATTGATAAATATCCACTGTCTTGTGACACATGAATCATGGTTTAACTTTGATCGTATCTCTCTTTTCCTTTGTCCAGACTAGTTTCAAGGAATTTGGGGAGGTGGGTTTGAGCAAGTACACTTAGGGTATATAAGGTTTTCACAAAAACTGGTCGGGGTCCTTGGCTAAGAGGAGATTCTGCCTTGGGCCTGCTGGTGTAATAAATTGCACTCCACTATCTGCATTGTCCTTCTGAGTGAGTTTGTTTCCCAGAAAGCGTGGCTGCAACATTTCCTCTCCTGATGGGGATCAGAGAAGACCTGACATTGATGGAACTGGCTAAGGAGAGTGTAGGAGGGACATGCAAGGGAAAGGGAACCATAATTACAAAGTTGTGGAGGTTGGAAAACATCACTACTTTTCTTTGGGTAAAGTTGAGGCGTTCAGACAGGGCTGGATTTGGGGACTCAAATGATGTCACTAGGACTCAAGTTTCCATCTTTCATCCCTGCCTTTTCCTTTTTATGTGTTAGCATAACAGGAGGGGAAAGGGCAGGACACAACTTTTGAAAGGAAGACATCGCCTAAGGACACAAACTGATTCTAAACTGATTAGAATCAAATGGGACCAAGATGGCAGACCAGACTAGACCATGATCCTCAATCAGAAAGTGAAATGACACACTCAGAGGTACCATGACAGTTCCAAGGCACTGTCAAAAGACCAAGAAATTGGGTCACTGCAAGGAATTGTGCATCAGAACAGTAAGCAGTGGAAATCTCCACCTCTTCTCCAAAATGGATGGAATAATTCTCCTACTCATTAGCATATGAAATTACCCAATCTATAAAAACTAATCATGCCACATTTCGCAGGCACACTCATCGGCCCTCTGCGATGTCCCATACTCTGTGGAGTGTGCTTCTCCCTAAATCTGAATAAATCCACTTCATACCTATCACTTTGTTTCTCACTGAATTCTTTCTGTGATGAGGCATCAAGAACCTGAGCTTCATTAGGTCCTGGAACCAGGTACCATGGGTTTTGACCGGGTTTGAGTCCCAGCCACATGGGTTAGATTCCCAAGCACGGTTTTGAACCACTTAGGTTCAAGTCCCAGCACATGGAATCAAGTGCCAATCTGAGGTAAATGGTTTCATTAGCATCTACATTAATTAGACTTTTGGGGCCAAGAGCTATAACAGAGGCTCAACATTACAGTGACTTAAACTTGATAAAAGCGTATTGCTCTCTCATGAACAGCCCAAGTAAAACCAGCTCTTTTCCTCCAACTCAGAAACACAGGCTCCTTCTATCACACAACACAGCAGGAGGCAGCTCTTAGACTACAGGGTTGAGGAATGAGACAGCTGGAGGTAGCACGCATAGACACCTCTCTTGACAAGGTATCCATGCAGAAAGGGGAGAATAAAGATCAGCTAAGGGACTTCCCCCAAGCTCCAGTGGTTAAGACTCCACATTCCCAAAGCAGGAGGCACAGATGTGATCCTTGTTTGGGCAACTAAGATCCTGCATGCCCCACGGCATGGAACAAATAATAATGAGATCAGTTAGGAAGAGCCAGAGGGCAAGGATATCTTAGAACTAATTTTTATCAGTATTATTTTGAGATGGGAGAAACTCGGGGATGTTTCAGTGCCGACGGGCAGAAGCCAGACAAGGAGAGGTTGGAAATCCAGCAGGAAGAGATGCCAGGATAGAGGATGCATGGCTCCCTTGAAAGCAGGAGAGCAACAGCAGAGCTGGGAACTGGGAAGGCAAAATGGATAGTTTTGGGAGTTCTTTTGTTTGTTGTTTTTATTTATTTATTTTTTTTTTGGCCATACCTCATGGCATGTGGGATCTTAGTTCCCCGACCAGGGTTCAAACCCAAGTCCCCTGCATTGGAAGGTGATTCTTAACCACTGGACCGCTGGTGAAGTCCCAGAATGCTATTAGTAAGGGGAAAACAAACCTGAAATCTCATGATGAGAAATAGAATCACCTGTGAGTTCAGGGTTACCTGTAGGGGTGGGAGGATAGGAGAGAACAGCTTGAACATATACCACAACTGTCACATAAGCTAAGCCAGACAGGTAAGCTTGACCCTTTAGTTCAAGGGTCAAGAGACTCCTGACTGCATCTCCTAAACTTCTAGTGTAGCTTTGGGTAAGTGACTCAGCCTCTCTCTATGCCTGTTTGCTCATCCACAAAAAGTAGTGATAAGAACAGTACCCACCATACAGGGTAGCTGTGAAGATATATATAAAGTGCTTGGCATAAGTGCTCAGTAAGTATGAGCTGTGATTGCTCTTGTAACCATTTTTATATTATCTGTGGAGAGGCAGTATGTATATGCATGATAAGTTGCTTCAGTTGTGCCTGACTCTTTACAACCCTCTGGACCGTAGCCTGCCAAGCCCCTCTGTCCATGGGATTCTGCAGGCAAGAATACTGCAGTGAGCTGCCACTCCCTCCTCCATGGGATCCTCCTGACCCAGGGATCGAACCCACGTCTCCTGTGTCTCTGACACTGGCAGATGGATTCCTTCCCTCTAGCACCAGCTGGGAAGCCTTCAGTATATATAGCAGAGTTGTTAAAACTAGAGGTCATGAAATCTGATCCCTGAGGTTCAAAACCTGACTCTGCCACTTACCAGGTATGTGAAGCTGGGCAGGCTATGTTACTTCTCTGGCCTCGGTTTCACGAGAGTCATATGGTACAGGTTGTCTCATCGGAGTGTTGATGAGGATTTAATATCACTTAAAACATTAAATGTTTAATAAACTTTTAAATATTTACTATTTTCAAATAAATGGATTACATAAAATAATATAAATTAGGTGACAATATATTAAAATGCCAATTGCATCATATATTACACATTTTATTAACCTACTCTGCTATACATTATCTTATAAGTAAAATATTAAAGCACTTGAAAGAGTGCCTGGCACAGAGTATGTGCTCAGTTAACAGTTACTAGATTATGAAGACACAGATGAGAGATGTGACAGGTTACAGAGGCTTTTTTATTTTTTTTTTCTCTACAGTTCCCTTCTGAGACAGTGATTATTATGGAAAATTTCAAGCATCACAAAAGAATAGTGTTTGAAACCCCATTACAGTTACAAATATTTTGCCATGCTTGCTTTCATCTTTTCCTCCCACTCTTTGTTTTGTTTGTGCTGTAGGATTTTAAAGCAAATCCCAGACCTTATTCCTCTAGCAAAGAACCTGGTATGTGTTTCTGACAGAGACACCAGCAGGAATCACAGCAGTTTCAGACCTCCCTACTGACTCCCAGGGCTTGCCTTGTAGCTCAGCTGGTAAAGAATCTGCCTGCAATGCATGAGACCTGGGTTTAACTCCCGGGTTAAGAAGATCCCCTGCAGAAGGGAATGGCAATCCACTCCAGTATTCTGGCCTGGAGAATTGCATGGACTTGGCTCCAAAATCACTGCAGATGGTGACTGCAGTCTGAAATTAAGACACTTGCTCCTTGGAAGAAAAGCTATGACCAACCTAGACAGCACAGTAAGCAGAGACATTACTTTGCTGACAAAGGTCCATCTAACCAAACCTATGGTTTTTGCAGTAGTCATGTATGGATGTGAGAGTTGGACTATAAAGAAAGCTGAGCACCAAAGAATTGAACTGTGGTGATGGAGAAGACTCTTGAGAGTCCCTGGACTGCAAGGAAGTCAAACATATCAATCCTAAAGGAAATCTGTCCTGAATATTCATTGGAAGGACTGATGCTGAAGCTGAAACTCCAATACTTTGGTCACCTGATGCGAAGAACTGACTCATTAGAAAAGACCCTGATGCTGGGAAAGATTGAAGGCAGGAGGAGACGGGGAGGACACAGAATGAGATGGTTGGATGGCATCATCTACTCGATGGACATGAGTTTGAGCAAGCTCCGGGAGTTGGTGATGGACAGGGAAGCCTGGTGTGCTGCAGTCCATGGGGAGGCAAAGAGTCGGAGACGACTAAGCAACTGAATTGAACTGATCGACTCCCAAACTTAGGCCCTCTTCCCAGCCCCTGACCTGCCTAGCCTCTTGCGGAAAAATGCATGCCCAGATGTGCGGGGGCGTGGTCGCACTCTGGGCGGAGGGATCCCGGGTTATCGTTTCCCGGTCCCCACACTCCGGGTGCTGGTAGGTGCTGGTAGGTGCTGGTAGGGTGCTGAGCAGGTCGTGGCCTTGCGGGCCTCCCAGCGCTACGAGGACGCCTCCGGATAGCCTGCGGGAACTATAACGGAATTGTGGCTGACTACCTGATACTTCTTGGAGGTCTGCGAAGTGCCAACACAGTCGAAGAGTTCCGTGTGGCCTGGACTCGGCTTCTACAGCTAGGGAGGCCCCTCCCTCTCCTACCCGCAGTTCCGACTCTCTACGGCAGAGAGCGCTACCGGCCCAATCAGGCTGCGTTTGGGGGCTCATAGCCCACGGCATATTCTCAGCACCGAGACTTGTTCTGCCGGCTGTGACCCAACACTTTACCGCGTATTCCCCTCCCCAAGGGTTGGGACCCTCGATGTACACTTGCTCTGGGAGTGGGGACGCACGGAGCTTCCCAGGGTTGCTTAAATAAATGAGGATAAATCCACGTGTGTGCCCGTCTTCCCTCTCCCAGGGCCCCCAGCGCTCTGGGGAACACAAGGACCCTAACCTCTAGCTCTCTCCACTCGCAGGACCTAAGAGTCAGGTCAGGATCCCCTGGTCTCTTCTGACCCCAAACCTAAGAGTCTCAGCGTCTAGCGTCCTCCTCCTCCAGGCCCTCAAGCGTCCTCTCAAGGACCCTGATGTCCAGTGGGCCGGGCCAGTGAACCATTAGCTCCGCCCCTTATCACAACATTGTGACGTAGAAGCAGCAACAACCTATGAGGCGCGACGGCGCCGCAAAGCTGGGAGCGGGAGGCGGAAGTGCCTGTGGCGGTGTTTCCCAGCTTCTCCCGACTGTGCTAGCGCGCGGTTCTGTGCCCCGCGGCCCAGCTGCTATTATGAGCCGGCACAGCCGGTTGCAGAGGCAAGTTCTGAGCCTGTACCGCGAGCTGTTGCGCGCCGGGCGCGGGAAGCCGGGCGCCGAGGCACGAGTGCGGGCCGAGTTCCGGCAGCACGCTTGCCTGCCACGCTCCGACGTACTGCGCATCGAGTACCTGTACCGCCGCGGTCGGCGCCAGCTCCAGATGCTACGCTCGGGCCACGCCACGGCCATGGGTGCCTTCGTGCGTACGCGGGGCCCGACCGAGGAGTCCACCGGCGCGGGGGCCCCAGGGACTCTGTCTGATGAAGGTGACGACACGAAGAGACCGCTAGACAGCGTGAGGACACAGAAGACCCCGCTGGATGGACGGTGACCGGCTGAAGGGCTCGGCCGATGGCTCAGGGGGACTGGCGGACCGGGGAGCCCCCCGATGGAAATTGAGAGGTCTTGAGAAACTAGATCGACAGATTGAGGGAGTTGAAGAGCCCTCCTGGGACGTGGGGTGCGATGGTGAGAAATGCCCGGCTTTACTTGCTGTATGGTACCGGGTCATACTTAACCAGTGAGGCTTGGGGTGGACTGTCAAACTGAGAGCTACTTACCCTGAGGCCTGGGGAGCCAAGACGCCCCGCTGTTTGACAGAGACTGACACGCTCTTGTCTAGAACCCTGAAAAATACCACTGCTGGCTCCTCAGACTCCCCTCTCCTATATTTAACTCTGAGAAGAGCAGACTCTTTCGTTGAGGAGTTTGGGATGATGCCCTGATGGACGGTGAGAAGCCTGGAAACCCCCTCAGAAAAATCTTTGCTCCATTGAGACCAACTGGGATTGGTGAGGAAGGGGGTAAGGGGTCTCTCACCCCCGCTAATCAGTTAAAGACCCCCTCAAGACCTCTATATGATGGTTCTTAGGGGGAAACCTCCCACATCCCTGATTCCTGCCCCTTTCCCTGCTCAGGTCTGTTGAACAAAAAGGCAATAAAATGGGGTGTGCTTATTTACCTGTTGGTGGTGGGAAAGATTTGATGTGTTTGGGGATTTTGAGGGTTATCAAGAAGTGACCCTCTGGCAAGGGATGGGTGTGAGGAACCCTCTAGAATGGCAGATTGGTTGGAGCAGCATAGTTCTTTCTCCTGGGCAAATCCATGGAGGGAACCCACCCTGGTTTGATCCCCAAGGAAGCCCCTGTTAACCCCTTAATGGAAGGTAGTGAGGTGGAAGAGGAATAGTGGAGCTGAGGAGGCCTGGCTGGTAACCCTTCTGGTAGTAATGGGACCCTCAAACCTGGCTAAGGAGTCCAGCCTCAGCTACAAGCTGGAATTGTTGTTAGTAAGGCCTAGGGGTAGGAAAGGAGAGGTGGACCCCTAGGCCACAGACATACCTTTTCCCATGTCTCCACAGGGACATGCCCTAGACATTCCCTGAGGTGCTGCATTTTGTAGCCCTCAGCTGTATTTGCACCCATTAAATAAGTAGAAAGCAGTTGAGAGGAGGACCTCAGGAAAAGAACTCAGCGCTCAGATCAAAGGTAGGATGCCACGGCACGCCTGCTGCTCAGTCGTGTCTGACACATTGTAACTCCATGGACTGTAGCCTGCGAGGCTCCTCTGTCCATAGAATATTTCCCAGGCAGGAATACTGGAATGGGTTGCTATTTCCTACTCCAAGGGATCTTCTCAACCTAGGGATTGAAACCACGTCTCTTGGGTCTCCCGCATTGGCAGGCAGGTTCTTTACCCCTGCACCACCTGGGAAGCCCCAAAGGTAGGATGGACCAAAGAGAAACACAGTCTCTGCCCCAATCCCAGTGCGGGAGGCAGATACTCAAATAGTTTATAAAATGAGGTTGAAATCTGAAGAATTACGAGGTGTTTGTCAGAATGTAGGGATAGACTTCTAAGCAGGGGGACCATGTGAGTAAAGGCCTGGAGAGCCCCAGAGCACAGGCTGTGCAATTCATGCAAGTGGCTTCTGCTTCAGCTTTGTCTCTGGTTGGTACTCAGCCTCCATGCCCATGTTCATCTGTCCGCCTCCGTTTCTTCCACCAGGGTGTTGCTATTCATCCTGGCCTGGCTGCATTTCATAGTATAAACCAAAATCTTGAAAGTGGATAGTGGTGTTAAGTCCTACCCATCCAGCCCACATTAGGGCTCCACCTGCATCTCCCTCCTCTTCCTCCTGCTCATTCCTGGCTCCAAGAGCTTGAGCCCTAATAAGTTCCAGGATGGGAGCTTCTGGCAGGGTCACAGGCAGTGATCGAGTTCTCACTGGGGCTGGGTGTCCTGGTCAGAAGGGAGTTATAGGGTGAATGTCGGGTGAGTAAGAGCTTGGACCCTGGAACTGGAATGCTTAGGTTTGAATTGCAGTTCTAACACTTACTGATTACGTGATCAGAGGCAAGTGATTTAACCTCTTTGTGCCTCAACACGCTTATCTACCGAATGGGCATACTAACTACAATAGTGTCTCCCTCATGCAGCTGTTACGGTATGTTTTTGTTCAGTCGCTAAGTTGTGTCTGACTCTTTGCAACCCCATGGACTGCAGCACATCAGGCTTCCCTGTCCTTTACCATCTCCCTCAGGTTGCTCAAACTCATTTCCATTGTGTTAGTGATGCCATCCAACCATCTCATTCTCTGTCGTCCCCTTTTCCTCCTTCCTTCAGTCTTTCCCGGCATCAGGGTCTTTCCCAATGAATCGACTCTTTGCGTCAGGTGGCCAAAGTATTGGAGCTTTAGCATCTGTCCTTCCAATGAATATTCAGGATTGATTTTCTTTAGGATTGACTGGTTTGATCTCCTTGCTGTCCAAGAGACTCTCAAGAGTCTTCTCCAACATCACACTTTGAAAACATCCATTCTTTGGCACTCAGCCTTTTTTATAGTCCAAACTCTCACGTGACTACTGGAAAAACCATAGCTTTGACTATATAGACCTTTGTCGGCAAAGTGATGTCTCTGCTTTTGAAAACACTGTCAGGTTGGTCATAGCATTTCTTCCAAGGAGCAAGCATCTTTTAATTTTATGGTGCAGTCACCATTATGACACAGTGAATTAAATACCTGCGGCAGCAGAGGGTGATGTCCCAACCCCATAACCCTCCTGTCTACTTGAGTTCACTTGTAACTGCAGAGGAGGGTTCCCATGAGACTGCCAGCTTCCTGCTCTGAGCCCCTGCATCTCTGCTTTCCTGCTTGAGGGCTTTCTAGGAATTCTGAGAGGTGGGTTAATGCCCTCAGGAGCAAACTGCAGCCTGTGGGGGACAACAGTCACTGGCTAATACCCCAGTTGCCTGTTGTCTGGTGGGACGGAGCCCCAGGTACTCAGAGTGGCTCCCACACCATAAGCATCTGTTTTGCTTCTGCCCTGTTCATTCTGTCTCTCCTCATTCCCTACCTCCTGCCTCCTGGGATCACATCGCAAATAAACCACCTCACTCAAGCCCTTATCTCAGAATGTACTGATGTTAAAGCACCCCCAATGGTCCTGTCTGTGTCTGCTGCTGTTTTCTCTCTTTTAAGGGACAGGGTCACTGCTTCTCAACCTGTCAAAGAATCTCCTGATCTAAGAAAATTGCTATAAAGGACTTAGGGGGTTAGAATAATTTGGAATATGCATTGTGGGTTAATAATAGAATGGAACTGAGTGTTGAAATTTCCTGAATCCAGTAACTGTACTCTAATTGTGTAAGACAGTATCTATGGCATTAAAAACTATACACTGAAGTATTTAGGAGTAAAGAGCATCATGTCTACAACTTACTCTCAAATGGTTCCAAAATATGTGCATAGATATATTACTGAGAGTGTGAATGGTGAAGCCCATGGGGTTAAATGTTAACAATTGATGAAGGTGGGTAAAGGGTATGTGAGAGTTTCTTGTTACTAGTCCTAAAGCTTTTCAGGAATTTGAAACAAAACAAAAAGTTACCAAAAAGACAATGTCATATATATAATGACAATATCAGTGTCTTACTGGTCATTTGTCTTTGGACACCAGATATCTTCACACACAGGGTACATTTTTACAAGAGATTTGAGAAAAATAAAGCCTGTATTTTCTGAGACTTGGATAGATTTCTCATGCATAACTTTCTCATAGATTTAGCAATCAATTTAAATTCCTGACCTTCAAAATAGTACCATCTGCTTTCCCTCACGGGTTCTGATCTCCACCCTGTCGGGAATGACAGGTCACTAGAATATGTTCTTGTCTTGGGTCACAAGCTCCACTCTCCCAAAAGGGCGACCAGGTGCATGAGGTGGTCCAGGGGGCCCCGGGGAATTCTGGGAAACTCATCATACTGGATGAGGAGCCACAGATCACCTGCAAGATCCCACCATACAAGCAAGCAAGGCTGACTGCAGCCCCCAGTGAAGCATGTGGCACTAACCAGAGGAGCTGGCTTCAGGACTTAGACAGTAAAGAATCTGCCAGCAATGCAGGAGTCCTGGGTTTGATCCCTGGGTTGGGAAGATGCCCTGGAGAAGGGAATGGCTCCCCATTCCAGTATTCTTGCCTGGAGAATTCCATGGACAGAGGAGCCTGGTGGGCTACAGTCCATGGGGTCACAAAGAGTCGGACACAATTAAGAGACTTTCACTTCACTGCAACTCTTCTATTGGGCTTCCCAGGTGATGCTAGTGGTAAAGAACCCGCCTACCAATGCAGGAGACATAAGAGACTTGGGTTCGATCCCTGGGTTGGGAAGATCCCCTGGAAGGCAGGTCGGCAACACATTCCAGTATTCTTGCCTGGAGAATCCCATGGACTGAAGCGACTAAGCACACACACACCTCTCTATTGACTGCTAAATTGGTGGGATGTAGGCTTGGCAGTTTCAAGGGGCACTCCCCACCATTTGGATAAGACTGAAGCCAGAACAGGAAAGAACTGAGCCCCTGGATCCAGCTGTGCTTGCAGTCCTGAACTTTTAAGTTACCCACAAAAATTAATTAATAATTCCCAATTTTTTTTTAAGAAATTACTGTTGTTTTTGTTTGCTTTAAATATTTATTTATTTGGCTGCACCAGGTCTTAGTTGTGGCATGCAGAATCTTTAGTTGCATCATGCGGGCACTTTTTATTTTTTTAATTGTGGCACTCGAACTCAGTTTCAGCACATGGTAGCTTCTGTCTGCATTGCAGCATGTGGGATCTTTAGTTGCAACATTCAAAACTCTTAGTTTTGGCATGTGGGATCTAGTTCCCTAACCAGGAGTGGAACCTGGGCCTCCTGCATAGGGTGCTCACTATCTTAGCCTTAAATCAATGGAGCCGGTTTCACTCACTTGCTCCATGTGTGGCCTCAGGCTAGTGGCTTCCCCTCTAGAGCCTCAGTTTCCCATTTCTGTTAAGCAGGGACACATCATTGGGTGGTTGTGAGAATTAAAGGAGGTGTCTGTCTTAAGTGCACATCCAGGAGACTAGCATGGGGCTCCTGCCTCTTGTTCTTGAGTCTGGTTCTGCTCCACCTCTTGTCCTGATATTTTAAGCTCTGGGAGAGGATAAGCTTAGACGCCTGAGGCTGGGGACTGGACTCCAGGACTGAGCCCTGGTAGTTCAGCTTGGTGACCTGGGAGAAGAGGGCTTTCACAGTCCAGTCAGTGATGGCCAGCCTGGGAGCCCACCATGTAGAGTGTTTGAACAGAGCACCTGGATGAATGCAGGTCAGGGGCTAAAACAAGTGCTGTCAGCAACCCACCAACATCCCTCTACCCCTCCTGTATACCTGCACCCCTCTAGTAGCCTGTGGAAAGCACCTGTGCCTCTTTGCCTGAGGGTCTTTACAGGCAGGAGAGGCTGAAGTGCTGGGGAGTTAACATCTCCAGGATTAATCCTGAGTCAATGAGAGATGAGAGCTGGTAAATTGCCACAAATCCTTCACCTCTTGTGTGTCCCACAATCTCCCAGAGGTCCCTAGGGGGATGGCACGCCAATGCCCAGAGAAGCAACCAGCTCACGGACTCCCTTCCCTGGCTCACTTCCCACTCCCCTATCAATTTGCCTAGGATCACCCCATCAAAAAAACTACCTGTGCTTGAGGGACTTCCCTTGTGGTCAAGTAGCTAAGACTCTGCTCTCCCAATGCAGGGGGCCCAGGTTTGATCCCTGGTCAGGGAACTAGATCCCACATGCCACAACTAAGAGTTCAAATGACACAACTAAAGATCCCTCATGTTGCAGCTAAGACCCAGCACAGACAAATAAATAATAATTAAATAAAAATACATTAAAAAAAAAAAAATATATATATATATACACACACGCACCATGTTTTAAAAAACAAAAAACTACCTGTGTTTGAATCTTTGTCTGATGGTCTAGGGGAACCCAGCCCAAGATGGGCTGATTCAATTCTATCTTCTGTGCTCAAGGCAAAGGGCTCTGTGGAGGGGGTTGTCTAGAGGTACCAGGGTCATACAAAGGTTGTCAATATTCAAGCATCCAGTATCCTCACACATCCTGCTATAGAATAAATAATAATTAAATAAAAATACATTAAAAAAAAAATATATATATATATACACACACACACACCATGTTTTAAAAAACAAAAAACTACCTGTGTTTGAATCTTTGTCTGATGGTCTAGGGGAACCCAGCCCAAGATGGGCTGATTCAATTCTATATTCTGTGCTCAAGGCAAAGGGCTCTGTGGAGGGGGTTGTCTAGAGGTATCAGGGTCATACAAAGGTTGTCAATATTCAAGCATCCAGTATCCTCACACATCCTGCTATAGAATGAAGGTTTGTGTCCCCTCAACACTCATAACCCTCAATGTGAGGAGGTGTGGGGCCTTTAGGAGCTGATCAGGTCACGAGGGTGGAGGCCTCATGAAAGGGATTAGTGCCCTTCTAAGAGACCCCAAAGAGGGACTTCCCTAGTAGTCCAATGATTGACTCCATGCTTCCAATGCAGGGGGTGTGAGTTTGATCCCTGGTCAGGGAACTAAGATCCCACATGCCACATGGCCAAAAACAAAAAAAAAAAAGAGAGAGAGAGAGACCTCAGAGAGTTCCCTGGCCCTTCTTTGATGTGAGGACACAGGAAGAAGATGGCTGTCGATGAACCAGGAACTGGATCCTCATTAGACACTGAATCTATCAGCACCCTGATCTTGGACTTTTCAGCACCCAGAACTGTGAGAAACCAACTTTTGTTTCTAAGCCACTCAGTCTAGGTTATTTGGTTATAGCAGCCCAAACAGACTAAGACATGTCCTTTAACAGTGACTATTTATTACATATGTCTGGACTGCATTCTCACATTGGAGGGGGACCATTCACATAGCTGAATTCCAGGTAAGGTATCCTGATCAGTTGGGCAGGAGAGCAGCAGGAACCCCTTGACGTGGGCAGGAACAATGTGATACCCACCAGGAAAAGGAAGAGGAGGAGAAGATGGAAGAAGGTCAGAGGTCGCCTGGATGCAGGAGTGGGCACTCTGTGAAGGGAAATACAGTGTTAAATGTACCAGTGGGTGCCACCATGAGCCCTGTTCCCCAACCCCCGGATTCCTCTCCCAGACATCTTACCCAGGGTCCGCCTCCAGCATCACATCTTGGAGACTGGAAGACGCTTGCCTCATCCTGTCCTAAACGTAGAGAGCCGCCAGCAGCAGAATGGGTGAAAGTGACATTTAATGTGCTCTTTACCTTACTACCATGGACAGGCAGAACTGGGCTTATTTCTCCTCCTTTCCTAGCACCCCTTCCATCCTCAAGCCCCCATGGGGACTTGAAATAGCTCCAAATGTAGTGGAGGTCTGTCTGTGCCTGCCCTCCATGCAGCCCCCCTTTTCCTGGTAACGGTGGTTCAACTTGGAGAGGAAGGTAACACAACTCCCCACTTCTCTGAATTCACAATTCTACTGCCATGACTAGGCATGTGACCAGACCTGGCCAATCAGAGCCCTCCGTCAGCTTGGCTACTGTGATTGGTGGCGAAGCGGGAGTCTGACCTAGAACTTTTGCTGCCATTAAGTCCAGAGCATTCTCTCCTGGGATGAGTGAGCCAGTGGGAAGTGAATGTGTAGCTGCTGGGGCAGCCGTGTTGCTGAGAAGAAATCCACCGTGCAGTAGAGCCCAAGACAGGGAGGGACTGCGCCCTGGCAGTATTTGAGGTCTGAAATTCAGCAACGCCTGGACTTGTCAGTTAAGTGGGGGGAAAAAACAACAACCCAGCATCCCCGTTCTTTGTGTAATTCAGTCAGGGTTGGGTTGCTGTCACTTGCTATCGAGACTCCTAAGTGATACACCTGGCTGAGGACCAACTCACTCGAGACTTCCGGAGCAGGGGTTGTCTTTGGTGACCTGCTGCGTGCTTCCGGCGGCTGAGGCCCGACATGAGCATGTCCTGTGGAGAGACAGAGGTGTGGGGTCCTTGGATAATCAGAGACAGACACAAAGTTGAGGAAGGGCCACGACGGCAGTGTGGTGTCATATAGATGAGATTCTGGGGGGAAGAGTGAGATCTCAGGGAGAGATGACGAGAGGGCCAGAGCCCCATAACAGCAACAACAAAAAACCCAAGAAGAGAGACATTATTTATTCATTCACTCAACAAATATTTAATGAGAGTCTGTTACACGCCAGGTACTGTTCTAGGAGTTGAGGACACAGTGGGCATAGAAGCAGGCAAAATGCTGGCATACATGGAGTTTATATTCTAGCAGGAGAGAGAGAGTCTGTAATTTAATAAATATATAATGTCAAGATGTGGTAAGTACTGTTAGGTGCTAACTTTTCGCTCAGTCATGTCCGACTCTTTGTGACCCCCTGGACTACACAGTCTATGGAATTCTCCAGGCCAGAATACTAGAATACTGGAGTGGGTAGCCACTCCCTTCTCCAGGGAATCTTCCCAACCCAGGGATCAAACCCAGGTCTCCTACAATGTAGGCAGATTCTTCACCAGGGAAGCCCAAGAATACTGGAGTGGGTAGCCTATCTCTTCTCCAGTGGATCTTCCTGACCCAGGAATCGAAACGGGGTCTCCTGCATTGCAGGCGAATTCTTTACCAGCTGAACCACCAGGGAAGCCCAAGTAAGAGGATAAGGAGTGATAATGTTCTGAGGCAGGTCTCTCTGAAGGGGTGATATTTGAAGAGAGACTGGAGTGAAGGAGGAGGTGAGCTGGGGGTTTGGAGATGGGAGTGTATTTGAAATGTCTGAAGAGCCAGGAGAGTAGTGTGGTTGTGGTGGGGTGAGTGAGGGGGAGAGTGAGAGGAAATGAGGGAACGTAGATACAACAGAGACCCGGAAGGAGAACACCAAGACACCAAAAGAGAGACATCGAGAAAGACAGAGCCAGAGGTTCGAGGGCCTTCTCGAAAGGCAAAGACCCTGCGAGGAAACACACAGAGGGTCCCATGGGTGCTTGGGGGGAGGAGGTCACCCCACCTGCTCTCACCTCCAGTCTTTGTCCTCTGCTCTGGGGGCCCCTGTGGCCACACAGCTCACACGGAGCCCCTGGCATCCGGGGCTTTGTCCTTCGCCCCAAAGGCTCAAGGTCCCCAATGTCCCCCGCCGGGTCCCATTCCAGCTCTGTTGGTGTGGGGAGGCTACTGGGTGCCCAGGGCCCCCAGACCCCACCAGGGCCCGGCCCATCTGAGTCCCCCTCGAACTCCAAGTCCTGTTCCAGTGTGCTGGCCTCCTCCAACACCTGCTCAGAGGACAGAGGTCATGAGGGTTGAGACTGGCACACGCGCCAGGGACCACCAGGATGGGCCATACCAGGCTGGTGCTGACCAGCTGGGCCTGCAACCGCCACAGCTGCCAGAAGATGCTGTTTTGGTGGGCTCTGAAGGCCCTCAGGACCTGCTCCAGGGTTGCCCGGGCCTGAGGCTCGCTGCGCTGCGCCAGCCCCTCACCAAACACCAGCAGTGCATCTAAACGCTCAGCTGCCCCACGTAGGTCTGCCTGTAGCGCCTGGGTACACATGGTTGAACATCATCAATACAGCCCACCCCACCACCTACACACACACACACACACACACTGACACACACACACACATTGGGTACACACGGTTGGACATCATCAACGCACCCCACACCACACCACCCCGCTGCCTACACACAGACACACACACAGAGGCACCAGAAAACCAGAGACCTAGGACTGGAGTTACTACCCCCACCCTCTTCCCATCCAGACATGGGGAACAAGGAAGAGATCCATTTCCAGGGGAAGCTGGCCCCCATCCTGAGGCCCTTACCCACCTGCAGCTGGACCATCCTGCTCTGGGCTGACACACAGGGCCCCAGGCCTCGCTCCCAGTCCTGCAGCCAGAGGTTCAGCCCCAGAAGACAAAGATGCAGACTGTCCTGCTCAGCCTCCAATACCTCCCGGCCAGAGATGGGGTGCTGGGGAACACAGGGCTGAGTCAGGGCCAGTGAGCCAACCGGGACCTTGCTCCCACTCCCATTGCACCCAGGCTCCTGCCTTCTGGATGCTTCTCTGCAGCAGAGTCCATCTGTGGGTGTGCCCCAAGGCCACTCCCACCTAGAGAAACTTCCCAGTGGAGTCAGGCCAGAGAACCTCTAGTTCAAATTCTCCAGGTTTTCAAGGCTTCTAGAAACTTGTCCATATAGGGCCTGGGGGTCTTGAAGAGACAGGGGTAATGGAACCGAATTACTCCCACAGAGAATGGGGCTACACCAGGGCCAGTGATGAGATAATTCTTGGACTTCCCTGGTGGTCCAGTGGTTAGGAACCCACCTGCCAATGCAGGGGACATGAGTTCGATCCCTGGTCCAAAGACATGCTGTGTGGCAACTAAGCCCGCGCCACACCTCAACTACTGAGCCCGTGCACCACATCTAGAAAGCATCCCCACTACAGAGTCAGCCACACTGCAACACCTGAACAATAATAACAACTCTCCACAACTAAAGATAGCCCACATGCAACAATGAAGACCCAGCACAGCCATAAATAAATAAATAAAATATTAACAGATAATTCTCTCTCAGTTGATAAAATATGAAGTAGTGAACAGTTCAAGAATCATTGTCTAGAGCATCCCACCCCTACACAGTTGGCCAACACTTTTCCGGAATCATCACCTCATCCCTGATGTGGAGGCCAGACTCTGGGAGACAGACAGGAGGTGGGGGCTGGCCCAGGGGCCCAGGTCACCTCAGCTCACCTCTGGGTGTTTGGCTCCAGCTGACTCCTCAAGAGAAGAGGGCACTGGCAACCTGGGGAGGTTAGCAACAGGCTCTGGGCCCCTCGGCCCAACCCGGAAGTGCTCTGGAGGGTCCAAGGGGTCCTGTCCCAGCTTCCGGGCCTGTTCTGACCTGCGAGGTAGAGGACAGTGACAGGCCCCTGGGTGAGTCTAAGTGAAAGTGAAAGTGAAGTCATTCAGTCCTGTCCGACTCTTTGCAACCCCATGGACTGTAGCCTACCAGGCTCCTCTGTCCATGGGATTTTCCAGGCAAGGGTACTGGAGTGGGTTGCCATTTCCTTCTCCAGGGGACCTTCCCAACCCAGGGATCGAAACTGGGTCTCCCGAATTGCAGGCAGATGCTCTACCATCTGAGCCACCAGGTGAGTCTAGGTGCACATTATTCACTCTATCCCACCCCTGTCCCGAGTTACCTCTCCCATGTCCCCAGCGGGTCTTAGCCACAATACCTCCTACCCTTCTAGGGCCCCTGCTAATGCCCCCGCCACTTTGGACCCCAGTTTCTAAAGCCCCAGCCCCTACCTGATGCTCTCCTCTCCATATGCGTCTCCAGTAGCGTCCAGTTCCCTAGGGGCTCCGGGGGGGTGACTGAAGGGCTCTGAGGGGGGTCTAGGGCCCAGAGGTGGGGGCTGGGCCATATTTGGGAGCCTGGGGACAGAGAGTCGGTAAGGACCCCAGCAGGAGCCCTTTTCCTAGCCCCAGTCTCCTAGAAGACTTCCTCAGTAGGACTCACCCGGGCCTGAGGCAGCCAGAAGCCCAGGGGCAGGTTCAGCTCCACCTCCTTCCAGGTGGAACCTAGACCCAGGTAACTTGATGCCCAGCTCAGGTGACCCTAGCTCCACTTAACTCCTTCCTCCGTGGTATACCAGTAGCTGACTCTCAAGCTCACCCCACCCAACTAAGGGGTTTCCAGATATGACCCTGCCCGCTCAAGAGCTCCAAGTTTTGAGCCACTCCAAGACCCAGACCTCTCATCCTGGGAACCCACATCTGCATGTGCATGCATATTCAGTCGTGTGGGAGTCTTTGCCAACCCCATGGACTGTGGCCTGCAAGGATCCTCTGTCCGTGGGATTTCCCAGGCAGAAGACTGGAGTGGGTTGCCATTTCCTACTTTAGGGGATCTTCCCCACTCAGGGATTGAACCTATGTCTCCTGCATTAGCAGGCGGACTCTTTATCACAGAGCCACCTGGGAAGCCCCCCCAGCGTCCCTTAGGAACCCAAACACCTGCCCTGCGCCCCACCTCCAAATGTCGAAAACCAGAGTAAGACTTTGTTGTTGGTTTATTTGGAATGGGGCCTTTTCCTGCGGTTTCCACGCAGGTACTGGAAAAAAACCCGAGAGGAGCCGCCTCTGCCGCAGAGATCCAAGGTCACAGGGCGGTAGCAGTCCAGAGCGGGAGCGAGCTCAGGAATCCGAGCGGGCCCTGGGTCCTGGGGTCACTTGCTGAGGAGGAGGCCAGCGCGCAGCACGCGGGGGACGCGGCGGATGGTCAACGAGACGCGGGTGCCGCGCACCAGGCGGGCTCCCGGCTGCGCCGAGGGGCAGGCGGCGGCGTTGGGCGGCAGGGAGCCAGTGTCGAGCGCGTCTACGCGGGCTGCCGCGATGCCGTGGAGGAGGCGCGTGTAGGCGGTGCCACGGAGCACCAGCAGGCTGCGCGGTTCAAGCAGCAGCGAGGTGGCCGGCCGCGGTGGGGGCCGGGGCTGCGGGGAGGGTTGAAGGTTAGCGAGTCCCCAGAAGTCGGCGGCGGGGGCAGACGAGAGATCAGCAGGTTTGGGGGTTCAGGGGCGAGGGTCAGCGAGTCCCAGGGGCAAAGGCTGAGGCGCGTGTGCTCCTAAGGATCGAGGCTGTGGAATGAAAATCCCAAGGGCGACAGGGCCACGGCCTGGAGGGGAGGGGCGCCGGGGAGGGAAGGGGGAGTGGTCGGCAGTCTTTTGGGAAGGAGTAGGAACTAGGCTGCAGATGGGGGCGTCTATGTAGCTAAGGAATCTGCAAGGAGCTGGGACTGAGGGATCAGTGGTCCCAGTAAGCTAGGTGGAACTGGGCTGAAGACTTGGCTGAAGCCAGGAAGTGAGGGAGAAAGGAGCAGGTGTGGTCTAGGAAGATGTGGGGGATCTCAGGATGTTTTGAGGACCCCAACAGAGTGGGAGGGGCAGGCTCCATGTAGGACTGACAAAAGGAGCCTCTGGACTTCCCTGGAGGTCCAGAGGTTAACTCTGTGGTTCCACTGCAGGAGATGAAGGTTCCATTCCTGGCCAGGGAACTAAGGTCCTACATTGCAGGTGGTGTGGCCAAACAAATAAAAGTTGGCGTTTTTTTTAAGGGAGAACCCTAAGGAGCAGCTGTGGTCAGGGTGTCCAGGGTAGTTTCTGTGAACACTGGGGCATCAGACACGCATCAGAGAAAGAGGTCAGGGAAATTGTTGTCATGAGCAACCCTCACAGAAGGAAAGGGGCTTGAGCAGCGAGTCCTGGGTTGAGGTGCCAAGGTGCCAAGGAGGTGTCCTGCATGACACATCACATTATTGGAGTGGGAGGGAGGAGGTCAGTATTGGGGTGCCTATGCAGTGGCCACTGAGAGTCAGGGTGTCTGGGAGGATGTCAGAGACACCCCTGAGGGGATGGTGTGGGGCTATCAGGGTATCAGTGTCTGTTGGAAAACTGGGGAGCCCTGCCTGCAGTACTGGAGCTCTCACTCTAAATATGCTGAGCCAGGACATCTGTAGGATGTCAGGACAGTCACTCAACAGGTGGGGGTACTGGGGTATCTGTGAAGATCATGATTTCTAGGGCACCCTGCAGGTAGATGGGTCAGGTCTCTGGGAGGCTGTGGGTGCCCTCCATGAAGGGGCAGAGGTAGATGGGTATCAGGGCTACCTCATAGGCAGGTGGAACTGGGGTCTCTTGGAGGATATGGGAGGTCGGCGTGCCCACAAGTGGCTGGGGCAGAATCTCAGGGCCCACCTGCTCTGTCGGGTCATCGTCTTCTGGCTGCCGAGGCTCGTAGAGGTCCAGCACGGTGTGAGAGCCCAAACTGATAGTGCTGACAGTCGGGTAGTACAGTGGCCCGTCCTCGTGGGGCTGAGGAGTGGGTACCAGGGCTGGACGGGGCAGGAGTCCACACCCCACCCCCCACCCTCCGGGGTGAAAGGGGGTCTCCCCAGCTGGGGACAGGGAGGCAAATGCTTGGTCGGGCTATGTGAACTGCTTAATGAGAGTGGATGTGGGTCAACATGATGCCCTGCCCCGTGGTGGGTCTGAGGTCTGGGGGGCGGGGTGAGAGTGTGGTTACCATGATGCCCTCCCCAGGCAGATACTGGTTTACAAGGACGTGGTTGGCTGGGAGACCCCCAAAAAGGCTGAGGTCAGACACTTTGTCCACGTAACGCTGGAGCCATGGTGGCAGTCGCTCAGGAACCATCCCCCGGGGATGGGGAAGCCCACCTGGGGAGGGTAATGGGGTGCTGAGGGCACCCAACCAAGGAGCTCTGGCACCAAGGAGCCCCTGTTAGGAATATCCCAGTGGTTGGTAGCACTCTGACCTCCTCAGGGACCCCTAACTCTTTGGAGATCCCCACTCCACTCTTCAAAGCTTTCCTGCTTCTCCAAAACCTAGAGATACTCCCCAACCCATTGGGAAATTCTAATCCCTCAAGACCTCTACTGACCCCTCAGAATCCTCCTGGCCCTTGGGATCCCTTGAACCCTCAGGGACACCCCCCCCCCCCCCCCACCTTGGCCTCAATGTCCTGAGACTATCCAACCTGACATGCCTACCCCAGCCCACAACCCTAAATCACCTATGCTCACAGTCAGGGACACTTACCCCAGTTCTGTAACTTCCTCCCAGAGAGCTGGGTCCACTTTGGCTTTGGGGCATTGAAGACCTGGGAGATGGAAGGGGGTCAGTCCTTTTTCAAGGACCACCCTCTCTGATTCTCCCACCCAGGCCAACAAAGGGGTTTTTAACTGGGGTGGAAATGGGTCATCCCAGTGGCTGTGGGATCATTCTCTGGGACAGTGTTCCCAGGATCTTGTTGTTTGCCTTTTCCCCCTGTGGAGACCACAGGCCTCAAAGCTGACCTGTGTCTACCAGGATTGAGGAAGGGCTACACAATCAGGGTCTGAATCTACCCAGACTGGATGGAGCTGGATGGAGCTCTTTCAGCCCAGCAAACAGTCTGCACTCTACTTTTCTGATCCCTGGGCTATCTCAGGACAGTCTGAGTTCTGGAACCTCCTTGTTCCTGTTGCCTGGGGGAGAAAAGGTGCTAAACTGGTTATTCAGTACAGTCAAGAGAGTACTTTGAAAATTCTCCACAGCCAAGACCCCAGGGGTCTAGAAAGGGTTGTCTCAAAGAAGTCTAAGAAGGGACTTCCTGGATGGTTCAGTGGCTGACTCCACACTCCCAATTCAGGGAGCCTGGGTTTGATCCCTGGTCAGGGAACTATTAATATATCCCACATGGTGCAACTAAGAACCTGCATGCTGCAACAAAGTTTGAAGATCCTTAATGCCACAACTAAGACCTGGCACAGCCAAACAAATACTAAAAAATAAAAAGTTGGACTTCCTTGGTGGTCCAGTGGCTAAGAATACACCTGTCACTGCAGGGGACATGGGTTCGATCCCTGGTTTGGGAAGATCCCACATGCCGCAGGGCACCTAAACCTGTGTACACAACTACTGAGCCCACACACCCTACAGCCTGTGCTCTAAAACAAGAGAAGCCACTTCAATAAGAAACCCGTGCACCACAACAGAGGGTAGCCCCTACTCGCCACAACTAGAGAAAGCTTGCGCACAACAAGGAAGACCCAGAGCAGCCAAAAATTAATTAATTAATTTAAAAGCATCTTAAAAAAAATAAAACCTAAGAAATCTCCTTATTTCCTTCATGGTAATGGGGCTGGGATGGGTTGTCTCAGCAGCAGAGTCTGAGCCCTCAAGCTAACTCATTCCTAGGAGTTAGTTGAGACTGCACAGGGCAAGTTCAGGCTCTATAACCAGGGCTCTGGGGCTGCAAAGGGCTATCCCAGTGCATGGATTCTGAACTTTGTAAAACTCTTCTTTCTGCAAACCTTAAGAATAGAATACAGACTGTACTATCTAATACATGTGGTCTGAGCTTGGTAACCTTGTTCCCAAGGCTCTGGGTCTATACTGAGCTATCAGTGGAGGGAAGCATTTACTCTGAACATTCTGAGGCTTGAACTATCTCAGCACAGAAATCTGAACACTAAAATTCTTCATTCCCCAAATCTCAAGGGCCTGAACTGGGCTCTTTCAACCTGTGTTGTAACCTCCTTTTCCCTATAACAGTAGTAGGATTGGGTTGTCTTAACACAGGCAGCCTAAACTCCATAATAACCACCACCTTTCTAGGAATCAGTTTGGGAAGTTCCCTAGTGGTCTAGTGGTTAGGATTCAGCGCTTTTATTGCTGTGGCCTGGATTCAGTCCCTGGTCGGGGAATGAGATCCTGCAAGACGTATAACTTGGCAAAAAAAAAAAAAAAAATCAGTTTGGTTCCCCTAAGCTTCCTGGCAAAAGCTCTTTCACCAGGCCCCAGCAGGTGATGAGAAAGAAATAGGGAAGGTGAGGGATGGGTGCTGGGTGGCACTCTCCTTTCTGCCAGGATCTTCACTGTGGCCTTGTGGGCTGTCACATGAGAGCTGGGGGTTGGAGAGGGATCTGGGAAGAGGAGAAAAACAGACCAGAAGGGTGTTGAGGTCACCTGTCGAAGTAAATACTCCTCCTCTTCCTTGGAGATGAAGTCAGGGATGTAGTAGATTACAGGTGGTGCCTAGGACAGAGAGATCCCCCTGAAGGTGTGGCCCTTCCAGCCGCAGTCTAGTGCTAGCACCCATGCGCAGTCCCTTCTCTGGAGCATAGCTCAGGATGTCTCCAGACAGGCCAGGGCCTTAAGTCAAGGGACCAATGACTATTTGGGGGATGAGGAGGTGGGGGTGAGGCTAGGGCTGGACCCTGAGGGGAACAATGGAGAGGGAGGGGGAAGTCCCAGCCCACAAGCCCAGGAGTTAGCCTCCCTATCCACCTCCACTCTATCTCCCGCCCTCTAGTCCCCACCTTCACCCTCTGCACCCCCAGTCCTGACAACCTGCTCCACCCTGAATGGTTCCAGGGCTGGGACCCTGGCATCCTGATCCTCCATCGACAGCAACTCCAGGTACCCGGTCAGACCTGTGGGGAGGGGAGAACATGCTGAAGTAACCAAGCCTGCCGCCCTCAGACTATGATCCAGCTTTCTGCTCTTACCATGGGCCACAGCCTCAGCTCAGACCTCTAAGGAAACTTCTCTTGGTTTCTAAAACCTAAGTCTTCAGTATCTCAAAAGCCACTCAGTGCACATCCCCCACACTTGCCCGGACACAGTGAGCACCCAGAATACTCCCCCAAACTCCATCCATCAAAGGTCCATCAAACTACACATTTGCTTTCTCAAGCTCCCACGGAGAACAGCCTCTGACTCCATCCTACACCTTTCCCAAGAGCTCCACCACATATAACAAAAGCTACACACCAGAGTCCCTTTAAATACCTTGGTTTGAGACCTTATTCTAAAAACTGCCATGCCCTGACTAAGCACAGCACAGCACAGCATGCATGCCTAAAAACTGCAATCCTGGCTCTCTGTGTTCAAGGTATAGATCCTCCTCCTTCCTCAAGCCTTTCAGACGCTCCATTCTGAGCACCCTTGTGCCCCCAATCTAAGCCTCCTCAGACATACCCATTTTCAGTCTCCTCGGATCCCCCTATTCTAGATTCCCTTCAAATTTCTCTTCCGGAGCGCCCCTTCACTCCAGCACCCTTGGACCTGTGATCCTGAGTCTGACTCCTTTCACCCCCGAACCCTCTGGATCCCCCGACTGTCTTCTAGAACCGCACATTCTGAGCTTCCTCAGACTCCCATATGCGCTTCCCTGGGTCCCCACTCTTAGCTCTCTTGGACCGCCATCTCCACCCTCGGCCACCCCGCAAACTGACCGTCCACCAGCGACCCCTCCAACATCCAAATTCAACATCCCAATTCCCTTCCCATCTACTTCCGCCCCCATGCCTTACGCAGGCATCCTCAGACCAATGGGAATTCTCAAAGGCTCTAAAGCTCCGCCTTCCACCCAATAGGCGCTCTCACAGAGTGTCGCCCCGCCCCCTCACTCTCGTTTGGTGATAGGCTATGCCTCCTGGCCTTTGAGCCACTGGACCCTTCAGAGACCGAGCTTCGTCTGGACCGACCAATCAGAGCTTCAGAACGGAACCCGTCCACACTGCGGAGCGAGCCCATAGTGGAGGGGCAGCTTTGGCGGCCCACAGGGAAAACGCGAGTGCTGGGAGGACACCCCCGGAGGTTAGGCCTTCCTACATACGAGCCGCAGGGAGACGAGATGGAGGGAAGGACTTCTCTGCCATGCTTCCCCAGTAAGGGTATAGAGGCACGGCCGTTAACTCCCTAAACACCGACACCACACAGAAAGCCATAGAAACGTCTTTATTGAAGGGGAGAGGGGTCATGCTGAGTTTGGGGACATGCAGTGAAGGGGCAGTCGTGAGCTGTTCTTGGTTTTCAGGGCCCCAGGTCTGCCCTGGACACCCTGGGCCTTCAGGGTCTCCGTCGGCTTTTGCTGGTCTGTCCAGGGTGCTCTGAGGTCCTCCAGGGCCAGTAACTTAGATTTGGCGTTTTGGACCTGTGACCAGAAGGTAGATTGAAATGGGGGCTCCAGGATTTGGGATCCCCTCAAGGCCTCGATGCTCCTCGTCTATTAGAGAGGGAAGCTTGAGGATCTGGGGTTCCCTTGGGACTGGGGCTCTTGGAACTTGGGTTTCTTGAGATCCATGGACTCGGGGCATTGAAGTCCTCTGGTTTCCAGGGATGAGAATTTCTGTTTGGGGTCTCCTGGTGCCTAGGATGCATATCCTGACTACAGTCTCCTCCATCTCAGGCATAGGGACTTCCATGGTTGAAGGTTTCCTGGGGGCTTGGAATCGGATTTTTTAAATTTGGGATTCCCTGGGGATTTGGGGTTCCATGATTTGGGGGTCCTGGGAGTTAGGGTTTGGGGCTCTCCTAGGGGCTGTCAGAATTAGGGGCAGAGGGAAGTTTGGGACATGTACTCTGGGGGTTGGGATCCTGAGTCCCAGAATGGGGCCTCCAAATTTTGGGGTCCCCCAAAGGGGGAAATCATTACTTAAAAAATAGAGAATTTTCTGGGAGCCTGGCCAGCACAGGTGCTGTGGGCCACATGGGGTGGGCTTCATACAAGGCACTGGGGGTTTCTTGAGGGTGCAGAGGATAGGAAGACTTGGGGGTCCTGTAATTAGCACTTCCAGGACTGTTTTGGCATCTGTAAATTGGGGGTGACAGTGGGCTGGTTAATGTGGGTCTCTTCTTGAGGGGTAAGAGTAGAGGCTTTTGTTAATGGAGGGAGTCTCTGATTGCAGTCTAAGGGTTTTGGGGTGACCATGGGAGTCACATCTTGACAGGATTGATATTAAATGTGGATCTGTTATTCTTCTCTGGAGATGTTTCTTTCAAGGGGGTTTGATGCTGGGAGGGTCCTTGTTAATAGGGAATGGTTTTGCTCCAGTGACTAGTGACTCAGGAATGTTCTACTGTGGAGCATTATGTAGAGAAAGTCACCATCATTTGGGGTGAGATGGAAATCTGTTAATTGGGGGGTCTGATCTGAGGGGTGGGACTAGCCTGAAGGTACTACACTCAGGGAATCTCTTTCTGGGTAACATAGGGTCTGTATTTGGGGGGTCATCATGGGGGAATCTGTTAATAGGGCCTCAGTGATCGAGGGCTGGCTAATGGGGGTCTCTATTCTGGATGTGTTATTGGGAATCTCTATCTCAGGGTGACTCGGGGGCTCCTTGTGTCAGGAGACGCTAGAGGGGGCTCTGTGTCTCTGTCGGATGTCCAGAGCCTCTAAGACTGCATCTCTGCCCTCAGCATCCAAGGAAACCAGCAGCAGAAGAGCAACCTGGGGAAAAGAACTGTGTCACACCCCAGTGCAGGGTGTGGGAGCATCTGGGCCCATCCCCACCCAGCTCCTCCCCAAGGGTCTGGGATTTGGCCTTTCTGGGTTCTGCCTCCACCTCTCTGGCTCTCTCAGGTTCCTCTGGAGCAGAGGGTGTTCTGTCTCCCTTGTTTTTGTTCAGTCGCTAGTTGTGTCTGACTCTTTGCAACCCTATGGACTGTAGCCCACTCCTCTGTCCATGGGATTTCCCAGGCAAGAATATTGGAGTGCATTGCCATTTCTTTCTCCAGGGGATCTTTCCGACCCAGGGATTGAACCCCTGTCTCTTGCTTGGCAGGCAGATTCTTTACCACTGAGCCACCAGGGAAGGTCTTACCTGCCTCTTAAAAATTGAATTCACCAGAATTCATGGTGGGGCCTCACTCTCTAAAGACTGTTTCCGGGTAAGCTAACTTAAGTCCTAAGTTTTCCTAACCTCTATTTCCAGCCCCAACCAGAACTCCAGACCCCTCTGTACAGTGGCCTGGTGGATGCCCTTCCCCGAATTATCCCACAGGAGAGGGAACCAAGGGTTGCTACACACCTGGAGATGGAGTTCTCTGATGCGATGTCCTTTGGGGTCCGGACTGTTGTGAAAGTGCGTTTGGGCTGCGTCACTGAAGAGAATGGCAAGGTCTCAGGTGATGGGATGACAGACCCACCTCTGTCTTTGATATCCACCTAGACTCTTTGTCATTAATATTTATCTACATCCCCAATATCCTACACTCCCAACAGCCATCTGGACTCTCTTGTCAATAATATTCCCTGTGTCCTCTGAGACCTACCCATCTCCCCAGTGCCTGCTCAGAGCCTTGTTAACATCCTCTTCTCCATAACACCCACCCTTTTGGGGGTCTGAATCATCATTTTCCTGGATCCCCAATTAAATACTGGAGATTCTGTCACCAGCATATACCTAAGGACCCATGACCTTACTGCCTACCCCCAAACCACATTCCTCCTCACACCCAGCCCGCAACTCACTTGTCACTTGATGCACTTTTTTGGCTCCGACATTGTCCCCAGGAGGGTCAGTGGATCCACCAATCCTAGGGAGACATGAGAAGTGGGAGGAGTCAGAGCCACAAGAGGCCAGGGTCCGGCAGGAGCTGAGCCGCAGGGGGCCTACGGGGAAAGTGCTAGGGTATGGGGGTGGGTGTCCACTCTATCCTCCTGGTCCAAGAGAAGGAGACATCTAAGGCAGGTATCAGGGTTCTGGGTAGTACCCTGGGTGATGATCAGAGTCTAGGGCTCACCTCTGAATTCGAGATGCTGGTGCAAAGACGCCATGCTTCGGTGGGCAGGTGAAGTACCGGACACCAAAGACAGAGCCGTCATGCTTGCCAGTGGGCTGGTCTAGCTCGATGCCATACCAGTACCCTGCAACAGGAGGGTGTCAGGATGCCTTGAGGCCCTGTCTGCCCCCCAGCCCAGATAGTGATCCTCACCTGGGGCGAAGTCTGTCTTCCCATAAAAGCGCACAATCCCTTGCTTCTGGCCAGCGACGAGGACTTGGTCTCCAACCTCAGCCTTGGCTCCTTCGCGTTGCTGCAGGCTGCCCAGAGACGGGGATGATGAGGGCTTCTTCTTACCTGGGGGTGGAGGGGAACAAGGGGTGAGGGTGAGACCTCCAGACACCAGCCCAGGGGATGCCGTGCCACCCGGAAAGCCACAAGGTAGGAACTCTGTCCGGGCTCAAATGAGATGAACTGCAGAGCCTTTCTCTGAAATAGGAGTGGGGGGTTGGGGGGCTTGAAAGAAGACAACCCCAGTTGTCAGAGAACTGGGGTTGGGAGCTTTAGGCGTGAGAGAGAAAAGTGAGTCAAGAACCTAGAGAACCCCAAAACTCTATCTCAAAGTTAAGGATACTGAGGCCAAAGGAAAATCTGAGTGTCAAAAGTCAGAAATTATCCTTTTAAAATGAAGGAGGGGGGGAAACTTCCCTGGTGGTACAGTGGCTAAGACTCCACACTCCCAATGCAGGGGGCCCACATTTAATCCCTGGTCAGGGAACTAGATTCTGCATGCCCTAACTAAAGATCTCGCATGCTACAAGAAAGACGGATGATCCCATGTGCTACAACTAACACCCAGCACAGCAAATAAATAAGCAAATAAATATTTTTAAAATAAAAATATGAAGAGGGGAAAATAAATAAATTGAAGGAGGGAGTTGGGTCTGAGGATAAATCAAGTCACTAAAGCCAGGAACCCCATAGATTCTCCCCTAAAACTGGGAGAAAGCCTTTGGGTCTAAGGGGAAGCTAAGTCACAGGGGGCAGGGAATACATACAGGTCCTTCCAAGAACTGGGTGGGACCAGTACTGAATCAAAGGAGAAACTCAGGTACAAAAGTCAGGGACTCAGAGTTTGTCCTCTAAAATGGGAGTTTGGGCCTGAGGAAAAACTGAGTCACAGAAGCTGGGCTACCCACAGAATATCCTCAAGACTGGCTCCTGTCACCCCATGGGCTCCAGCTGACCTTTGTGTTCCCTGCGGCCCTTGCCAGTGACACGGGAGAAGTCCATTCGGGGAGTCCGAGGGGTGGAGGTGACGGATGAAGGAGGTGCGTCCACTGCCTTGGAGATCTTGGACACAGAGGCAAAAAGACCTGGGGGGACAGAGTCTGGGCTGGGACTTGTCCAAGCCTCTGCCCCCTGCCCCATCATCACCCCTGACCCCACCAGTCAGCAGCATCACTACTGAATGGACCCCAGTGGGACTGACCCTGCTTGGGAGGGCAGATGAAGTACCGGACGCCCCCAACACTGCCATCATTCTTGCCCTCGGGTTCATCCAGCTCCACGCCCACCCACTGGCCACTGGCGAATTCCGTGGTCCCGCAGAACCGCA